CTCTTCTTGACGAAAGCTGCCTTGGCCATGGCTATCCTTGCTTTTACTTCCTTGGTGCATAGGGCGTCCGTCGTGATTATGCTTCCCACGTACTTGAAATGCTCCACATTCTCCATCTGTTTGTTTCCAATTACAACGTTCAATGGTTGTGCTCTCGGTGCTATCCTCATTACCTTTGATTTTTCAATGTTGATTTCCATTCCATACTCTCTACCTGTTTCCACTAACTTGTCCATCATGTTCTGTAATTCCTCCTCTTCCTTCGCCAATACTACTAAGTCGTCTGCATACTTTACAGTCTTTATCACTCTTCCTCCAATTTTGAAGTCTCCTGTTCCCTCCAGAGCTTCCTTGGCAAGCCATTCCCCGTACAGGTTAAAAAGAATTGGTGATAAGCAGCATCCCTGTCTTACACCTCTACCTATCTCAACGCTGTTGGTGTCTCCTGAGTCCAGTCTCACTTTGACTTTTTGCTGCATGTACAGGTTTTTGATTAGTCTTCTAGAAGTACAGTACAGAACAAAATTACATGGACAGAAAATAATATTTCCATTTATTGTAGGTAATTTTACATTGGTCTTTACACTGTTCTGACAGGTGTCAGCCTACTTAAGATGGGCTCTGCTCCATGGAGTTAGTTCAGGTTTCTGTTTAATTTAAATTCTGTCTTAGACAGCTTTACTGTATTTTAATGCTCCAGTACATGATTACATTCTAACTTACTCGCACTTAGCTAGTATTGCTAAAGAATTATCCATTTTTTCAATAGGAGGCCACTGGAAACACAGCCGAATGTCAACAGCTTCTGCTACGCTTTTTCCGTTTCTTTCTTCCCACCTTTTTAAGGCATCTTTTATTGTCGTGGCCTTGGACTGAAAATGCAGAGGTAAAAAAATTACTGTCTTTCAAGATTCTATATAAAGTAATATGTATTTTTTTATTATGAAAATTATTGCTTTTGGTTATTTTAGCATCTCTAGAAATGAATAACCTTCATTTGTGTTGTTTTCATCTGTGACTCATGACCTTATGACAGATAATACAGCATAAAAAGAAATGATACCCGTTATCTGTAATCCTATTCGTGTTTGCTTGCGAATATTTCAAATAACCAATGTAACATTTGTAACCACTGTTGAAGAATAAGTATTCCAGGAAAAGTAAACTTAATTTAATGGTAAGTACATATAATAATAATAACAACAATAACAGGAATGTAAGACTTGAGGTTCTCACAGCGGTGAGTATGAAGATTTCCGTCTTTTGGGTTGTTGCGCTGTGTAGTCTGGTCGATGTTTACCAACGTTTCAGAGGTCATACTGCCTCCGTCATCACCTGATGACGGAGGCAGTATGACCTCTGAAACGTTGGTAAACATCGACCAGACTACACAGCGCAACAACCCAAAAGACGGAAATCTTCATACTCACCGCTGTGAGAACCTCAAGTCTTACATTCCTGTTATTGTTGTTATTATTATTATATGTACTTACCATTAAATTAAGTTTACTTTTCCTGGAATACTTATTCTTCAACAGTGGTTACAAATGTTACATTGGTTATTTGAAATATTCGCAAGCAAACACGAAACAGGAATAATGGTAGTCAATTGAATTATTGGTGTCATGTTAATAAATTGCTTTTTCTTTGTCATGTAAATTATGTATATTATTTGATACTAAGGGTGTTAGGATTGTTCATTATATTAAATATGGTAGTCACAATAATTCACAATTACTCCATTACTAAATGTTTTTATAGAGAGCTTCAGGAAAGATCATACTTCTTTTGAACCAGTGATAAATGGGCTATCTGATGCACAACTTCTAATTATAAATTATATACAATCAGTCTCCAATTATAATTAACAGGAAGTGAATCAGACTTATAAATAAAGGAACTATTAAACAATTTATTACATCTAAGTAATGAAAACTGGGACTCTGTATTAAGCAGCCATGATGCAGATTCAAAATTTAACACACACAGTAAAATCTCGGGCGATCAGCTGGGTCAGATGGTTAAACAATAAAACCGACATTTCAGGGACCGTCTCTGTCCCCATCATCGGGATTCTGATGACATCAGACATGATGGGGACAGAGATAGTCCCTGAAACTTCAGTTTCATTGTTTAACCATTTGACACGGCTGATCGCCCGAGAAGATTTTATTGGGTTACGTCGCCGTGAAAGCTTCAAATCATTTAACACTCCTTATTATCTACTTAAGAAAGGTAGTTTCCCCACTAAAATAGAGAAAATGGAGTTTAAAAATAATGAATGGATTACTAAAAGTATCAGAACATAAACAAAATATTTACCTAAATTCTCAAACTAGTAACCGAGTAACAAAGATTCACTGCAGGAAATATTGCAGAATATTAACACAAGCCATTAAAGAGATTAAACATATGCATTACAGTGAACAGGTATTAGATCTGTGCAATAAAGAAAAGCAGTCCGGAAAGTTGTGATAAAGGAAATATATTCTGCAGAAGTTACATTATCAATAAAGATAAATGATAATGTAGTAAAATATTTATAACTTGTTTCAAATTCTAACAATATTTCTTAACGAAAGAAAGAATGATCAAAAGATGCAATGAAGTACCTTATTGAAGCAACCCCTAAAATTTTTCTAAATAAAAACCCACACTAGTAAATGAAATTGAAAGTATAATAAATTACCTCCAAATTCATGTGGGTATGTTAAAATATTCGTTCATATATACATATGTCTGTTCAATTTGTGCTTTAGTGTGGCACTCTAATTTTTATTAGGTTAAGTTAGATTAGTAGGTGTGTTAGAATTTTAGTATTGTACAACAGCAGTACAAGGTCATACTATTTAGCAGGTAATCTGCAATACATAAAGGATCTATAATTAACAAGTATTTCCAATATGCCAATGAAATTCGTACATTATCTTTTGGTATCTTTTAAGCTATCGGGAAAGGATTTTCTCATATTCTTGTCTTTACCCTTGCCCATATATTCCATCAAGCTGGTGCAAACCAATACACATGTGAACTGAATTAGGTTAAAATGTAGTCACGGATGAAATGTCTCCTAGGGGAAACTAGAATACGAAAGTTGACGTGGATGAAATTTATGTAGATGTACTGACAACAATCGGTGACACGTCTCGTAGGTCATGGAACCGAATTAAGGTGTATTTCACAAGGACAGTGAGGAAGGGAATGAACGGCATTTATTACGCAATGTTAATGACAATAGCGAGGGGTCTAACCAGATGTCAAATAGATTCACGCGATATGAGATTGTGATTCCAAAGATAAAATTGGATGTCTAATGCATTGTCTAATCACTGTTTGCTAATGTTGATATTAATATTTTCTGTTTGGCGGACAATTTAGAGGCGCGGAGGGATACAAAAGAGTGTTTTTGAGTCACGTCGATTCGCTGTTTGACGATTTCCAATAGTAAACAATACAGTCACAGGCGTGATTGTTATTTTTCGATCACAGTAATTAAATCACGTTCGATATTTTTTACTTATTTTGTTCTAAAACTGGAACCACTACATGTTGCTTTATGTAATGTTTTACGTTGCACATTTTGAAGCACTGCAATTCTTTCCCTGTTCATTTTATCCAATTGTGATATGTGCACATCCATACAGAAAGATTAATTGAGATGTCTTCCTTCTAACACGGATTATGACTACCATTACAGCCACTTGTGAAAACATTGTTGAAAAAGTACACCAGTATATTTATCGAATAGATTCAATATTATTTATAAATTTAGAGGGCTCTGTAGTTGTGTACGTTCACTGAGCGAAATTGAACAGAATGAAATCAAGGTTACATAAACACCTTACAAGTCTAAAAACACGTTACGTACACTCCACAAATTAGACCTTGATCTTCTAGTACTCTTGCTGTGCAGTTCTGAAGTTTTCAAAAGAGGCCACTATAAATTACGTTCCTCTCAGACCTTGAATGCTAAACAAATGGCCTAAACCAGTAGTCGACAGCTTTGTAAATAAGAACAAGAACATTTTGTAATACTCTTAGGAAATAAGCTTTTGGAGAACTACATTATAAATTCAATGAAGTGTTCTCGAGCTCTCAGACACGTCAAGTTGTCGTTAGAAAACCGACGTTTCGAAAACCGTCTCGGCCTTCATCATCTGCGGAGCCCAGTTCCGTATATACATCCTGTATTTCTGCAACTACCTAACATGGCTGATTGCCTCGTCCTCAGGGTACTCTGAGAAGATGGTTCTCGAAATATTGGTGTTTTCGCCGTTAAATCACATGACGCGGCTGGTAGAACAAGAAGAATAAGTCGCCGTGAAAGCTTCATATCATACAAAAATGATTGCAATGTACTTTGAAGTCCAGATAATTACAGGAAGTACGAATATAATAAAATGAATTAAATACACAGTAATGTATGTTGTACGACACACGTTCCCTTGTTGGCGGAGTGACAGTGAGTTTGTTAATTTTTGCTGTTATTCGCACGCGGCTCGCAATCCACCGGCTGCCTGCCCTTGGCCTATATTAAACAAACATTTTATGTAACTAATGTTAATTTTCGTCTATTCTTTCTACATTTTTCCATAATGTTTTACGTTGAAATTAATATGTTAACATGTGGATGTCTTCCTAGTAGGTGTCGCCAACAGAAGAAACAAATACTTCCATGTAATAATTCACATTTTATCGGTAATCTATCGGAAAAATGGCACCAATATGTATTTATTACTATATTATAAGCAGCATACTATAACACACATTTATGTAATTTTATCTTACCATTTCACATTGTTTATGTAGTGTTGCCAAGACAACGGCCAAAGACCAAAATTCTTTAAACGTTCCAGAGATGTCAAAACATGGCTTAACATGGAGCGGACCTATAATGACAAATAACTTGGAAGAGATTTTTAAGACATACCACGGAACAAAAGAAACTAGCAGTTGCGTTTAGTGTCATGAACGCAGATGTAGGTTGAGAATCTGCGATTCAGTAGCAATTTTTTTACCTCTGTAAGACTGCTGTTTCTGAGACAAGAATGCTCAATTTTTATAAAAAGTTATTACTCCTCAAATTCGTGACCTCTTAGAAATGGCCACGTGATCGAAATCAACCAATGGTGATGTACTTTCAGATTGTAAGTGGTGTTGGTGTGTCTTCATGCTCTAACACATATAAAAATGCCCAACAAGCCTAAAAAGGAAAAGGTATGTAATAATTTTTGTTACTAGGATCATTTTTGAATTCATAAATATACTTTTTGTATTGGTATGATTTGATAAACACTAGCGTAGACTGGGAATAGGTTGTGGGAAAATGAGGGTGTAACATTTGACGCCGTGTCGTGTTTGGCTTCAAGTATTAATGTAACCTCTTCCGTTTTTCGTTTTTTGGTAGAAATGATCACATGGGAAGTATTATAATGCTGTTTTATTGAGTCATTAACAATTGAGATTAACGGTTTTACTGTGATTGCAGGAGCCAACAAAAAACAAGACTGGAAATGGGAAGAATGGTGGGAAAGAAAACTTGGATAGTGGCGATGAGGTAGGATAACCAGTGTGATGTTTAGTAATATTAACAGAAGAGGTGATATGTTTAGACAAGTGAAAATAACTGTTTAAGTTATTAAATTGCATAACTATGATTCTGCATAATGTTTTGCAAAAATTACTCACAGCTGCTGTGGAACTTAACCTAACTTTGTCATGTTTTGGGGTTAACTTTTACAGTGGACATATATAACCTTCAGCCCTAGGGCGAATTTTACACCGAATCTCCATTTTATTGTTGCACTTGAAAATGTTCAGTCAGTTCCTTAACAGCTATGCAGCTAAGTATGTAGCTGAAATTATAATTAAATAAAGTAAAAGAATGCATACCAGTACCTAAAAACAATATACATGCAACTTTTGTTGTATTCATGTTTCCCTCTGGAATTACTCGTAAGAAACTATGGTACCAAGTAGGAATTAATGTGTATGTCTATTCAGAATGTTGCCATGTTTCTCTGTATCTTCTTATGAACTTCATCAGTTTGTAGGTATTGCAGTATGTTGGCTTCATAATTGGTAATTGGTTTCTAAATTATTGTTCAGAAAAATAAAACTGTAGTATCAGCTCAGAAACATGATATCTAATTTGATACTGGGATAAGAATAGGTGAATTGTAGAAATGTTTATGAAACATTGGGTTAATATTGTCTTGATACCATTGAGAAAAATATATTTTTTTTAATTATACTGCTGTGTCACACGTGTTTTTTTGGTGATGTAAGTGTCGTGTATTCTTTCAGTATGATGCATGGTTATTCTCTACACTTTATGATGAACATGATTAAAAATTTGTCAGTCACTGAAAGTCCTAATGTATTTTCACTACACATTGAAAAATGTGCAATAGTAATTATGAAAGTGATTGCATTTCCTTTAACTCTGATGAATAGCACATATTTGCAAATATGAACCTTGTTTTTTTTTCTAGGTTATTAAATATGTTGTTGGTTATTTCGTGGTAGATTGTAAATCAGGTGTGAAGACATTCCATGATATTGATTTTGAATTAGTATTTTTTTTCCCTTTGAATAAGCATACCTTGGCTTTAGAAAATTGCTTGATGGAGAACTTTATAATTCGTACTCTTTAGCAGAGATTAAGACTCGTTATGGTGATCTAATCAAGCAGGGTGTTTTAGTTGGAAATCCTGAAGGAAAGATACCACTTTGGAGACCTTGGCGTTAATATGAAGAGAATATTGATATAGGTCTTGAGGAAAACAGGTTTAAGGATGTGAGGATGAGACCCAGTTCTGGGGCTTGTGCCATAAAGTTGGGAATTTATTGATTAGCTGAATGACAATTAGCTTTTCAAGAAGTACTTCCTCCTATGGGGTTAAGCTTGTCTTATAGTGTGATGAATTGGAAACATTATTAAAGTATGTTTGCTTTTATTGAACATTATTTTACCATATTATTGCTAGTTAGTTTCATAGTGTGCAGTAATGTGAATGTTATCGTACAATATGAAATTTCCACATTGCATGGCTTACAAATTTTGTATATTGTATACACCATAACTTTGTTTTTTTGGCAAAGACTGTAATATTTAATCTCAGGCTTCTTTATGTTTGATGTACATTTAATTTCTGAGTAATATTTACTTGTCATTTTGAAATTGGATGTCATATGAAGTATGAACAATTTTCAGGGTGGAATGTTGGTATAATAAAACAAAGTAATAACTAATATTAATTGTTGCGCTGTTAGTGAGTAAAGATAGTATTGCAGAGTTTGCTAGTTAACATATTTTACATAATTTGCAACTTTTCATCAAGTCTTGGTTGTGCTGTAATGTAATAAATATTCTTATAGTCAGGGAGCAACTTTCCAGTACAGTGATAAGAGATGTTTTAGTTTTCCCACACATGGCAGCCGTACATATCACAAAATTGCGTGATGTTTGTGTTGGGTTTCGAAGGAATTGACAAAACATTGAATAAAATTTTGTGGCTGGAGTTTAATGTATAACTTGGCTTTCAGGAATAATTTGTGTTGATTGTTGAAGTTTTTTCAGTGTCTCTGCAAACTTTTGCAATTGTCATCTTGAGGGAGAATGTCAGGGATTGGGGGTTGGGAAGCTCTTATATGATCTGACAGTCGAGATTGAGTGGGAGATGATATATGTGATTGGTTTGAAAAATTGATAACCATGTGGTACCTATTGGGTAGGAGGCTCGGTCTTTTGACCCAGCTAGGGATCGAACCCCAATTATTAAGGTTGTAGTTAGACACTGTACTGCCATGGCTCCCAGTAGTAGAGGCAGTTAGGTGGAATTCTTGGAAGAAACAAGGTGAAGGTAGGCGTTGCTAAGTAGTCTGTATCGATCTTCTTGGTTGAATTTGTGTGGGTGTTGTTTTATATTGGTGGCTTCCCTGATGATGTGGGGATGACAGGTCTCTGTGTTAGCTTCTGTACTTTCAAAAGCTTGGTCACTGTTGAGTGTTTGGCTACTACTTTTCACCGATATTTAAGATTGGCATCATTAATGTGCTAAAAGATTCCAGTGGAGATGTGACTCCGTACTACTAATGGAGAAGGGGGCCTTCTGTATACCCAAGTGTGTAGAGTTTCCTGTTCTTGGTAGAAAATGTGAAAGGAAGAAACCTGTGCATAGATGGGAGATTAATTTTAAACTGGATCTTAAAGAAATAGGATGCGGTAGTGTGGATTTCATTGATCTGGCTTAACATAGGGGACTATAATGTTGGAATCTTGTGAACACAATAATGGCAATTTGGGTTTCATAAATGGTAGATAATTTTTTTTTAATAACCGAGCAACTATTTCCTCGTCACAAACTTTGCTTCGTGGAGTGAGTTAGTTAATGTGTGTATGCCTCAGAACAAAATATGTGATATTAAATTAAAGAAGCAATCATAATTTTTCGTGTTTGAAGATTGTTCATAGGTTTAGAGCCTATCCATCTTAAGGTGTCCACACACTTTTATGTGGGTCTCTTCTGACTTACGCATGCAATATTATTTTAAGTCAGCAGTTTGAACGTGGTGAAGTGCAAATCTTTGAGGTTATATCTGACAAATTTAACATAGAATCTTTATTAATATAGAAAGTGTTTCACATAATGCTGACAACAATATCAGCAGCAGTCTGTAACATTTTAACAACTGAAAGCGATACAATTTCTGACTGCATGGGATTAGAATTAGAATTTATTTGTATTCCTTAGATCTTTTATAGAACAAGCTAAGGATGTGGAATATGACGTACTATGAATATGAACATTTAGTGCAATAAAATAACAAAACTGCATATTTATTATATCAGTTTATGGT